TTTGTGCCGGTACACTTGTAAATGTCAAAATCACTTTGGTTAAGTACTCTTACCTCTAAGAAAAAGGTCATATTGTGTGTAACAGATTTTGTACATACAGATTGATGGGATTCAAAGGGGGCAAGCATTCAAACAACACTACTATCCTATGATGTGATTTGAACTTGTGACATCTTTTACCATTGATCAATTGTCAATGTTTATTAAGAGGAACATGCAATAAACTATTCCCTTTATGATTGATTGGATGATTGACCGGTTTATTTTTAGATACAACACGAAAAACATTTACATGGAATAATAATCAGAAAAAAAATGATTTGATGTGTTGATGTATTTAACCAGAATGAAATCTCTGATAGAGAACTTTTTATAATTGAAATTATGGGTCAATCACTGTTAGGCCAGCATTAAAAACTTGGAAGCACTTGACGGCTGTGACCAGTGTAGTTCAACCCTGTCGGGAGTGAGGCAGTAACTATCAAAGACAATGGATGAGGCTGAACAAAATCCCTAGCCACATATCAGAGTTAGATATTAACAACGTTGAATGCTAGCCGGCTCAGTGGTGTAGAGGTCAGACGTTCTGAGATGGTGGAGAAAACTTGTAGCTCAGGTGGATGATTATGGTGGTGGTGTTTCGTTCTCTGAGCTGGTTGTTTTGGTTGTGGAGCTTTCAGTGTTCTTCTGAACAACAACATCATCATCAGCACAAACTTCAGATAGAAGAAGTGAAGTATTCGAATTTCTCCACGTTTGACCTGTAGCTTGTTATGCTAACCTCGATCTTGATTGAGTGCTGTTGACCCTTAACCTGTCATTGTTTGCACCTTTGTTTTGATTGTATCCCTCTTTTGATCTGTTTCTTGATCCTAAATCCTATGTCACCTATGATTTTTCTGATTGGTTGATAAATTGGGTCAATGTCGATGTGTTTGTCAATTGTTGATTGACCTGAGTGCAAACAACGACAGGTTTAAGGTCAACAGCAACCAATCAAGATCGAGGTTATCAGAACAAGCTACAGGTCAAACGTGGAGAAACTCGAATACTTCACTTCTGCTATCTGAAGTTTGTGCTGATGATGTTGTTCAGAGGAAGAACACTGAAAGCTCCACAACCAAAACAACCAGCTCAGAGAACGAAACACCACCACGGTCAGACGTTCGCATGCGAGGTCGAAGGTCCTAGGTTCGCTTTATGCGTGTAGCATAGCCTGGATGCGCAATGCTGATGAATCCCGTATACTAGAACGAAACAGCTGTCCAATGCTTCTATGACTTTAATGTAAATCATTGGTCGCCATAACCTGATAATGAAAACCTTTTTTTAAAAGTTGTTTTCAATTATGTAATAGTGAACATTAAGATTTTAGTCAATTAACCTCGCAACCAAATATTATTATAATCTTATTGATAGAATTTGTAATGATAACATTAAGGATAAGGGATTCAATTTGAAGTGATGAGTATTTAGTGATCAACTTAGCTGATCAATTGATGAAGTAGTGAATCGTCATGCGTCGAGATAGTTAGGATAGGGGTTACACATGTCTACTAACCACCAACTACCTCGACGAGTAATGTAGTCTGATGTAGGTTCGAAGTGACCAGACTGAAACATGGCACAAATCCATGAAGTCACTGACAATAGGATTGAGCTATATATATTAATAGGTGTAGACCACTTGATTAGAGTCTACGAGACAATAGTAACCAATGTGGTTAGAGACAATGAATGGCGCAAATGCACCCATTCTTTGTCTTTGCTGAAATTTAGGATACACTTCTACGCCTTATCAAGACTTTTTCGTTAGTTCCTTTGGGTCAACGGATCGGAGTAGCCTACCCAAACACTGCTTCATTGTTCCGTTCTGGTTTATCGACTAAGATGAACCCGTAATAGTTTCAAGCATATCAACTGACGAGCATAACAGCAATACAGGCAAATTGACAGCACTCAGCTTGTAACAAGCTTAAACCTAATGTCACTGCATTTTTAAGTACAAATTATTTCAGATAATAACCTTTTAATATTTTCCTGTCGTAAAATCTATTCATATCCATAGGGTATTTTTACATTTTAGCAGAGATGATTTTTGTGATTCAATCAATCAATCAATAGCAACGTAAAACTTCGTACGTACGTACGTACACCAGTTCATGTTGCTATATCACACGAGCACAGAGATGTAATTGTCAATTCAAATCCAATAGTAGTAGAGGTAGTGAAAGTATTCGCAGTATTCAGAGAGGTTAGGATTAGAAGATATTATTCAAGAAATAGAATCTAGTGAAATAAACTTCAAAAGATAAAAGTGATGAGGAATTCATAAGGTTAGAATTTGAGACAACACAAAGAATGAATGCACCTGCACCATTGCAAACAATATTGAGCTATGTCATTCAGGGCCTCTAACCATTTTTGTGATTATTATCTTCAGCCTATAGCTCCCCCCAGTATTGCTCTGAAATCAACAAATCTAATTTTGTTATGTACGTCACTTAGTACGCTTGAAGCTATTACGAGTTCACTTTAGTCGATAAACGCGAATGAGACAATTACCAGCGTCCAGATAGGCTACCTTGAATCCCAAACTGCAAAACAGAAGTCTTGGTAAGCGTAGAAAGTATATTCTACAACACCCAGCAATCACAATACAATCAAGCACACAACCCTCGTTTATTTATATATCATAGAAACGTCCATGGGATAGTTACGAAAATAGCACACTAAAATACACAGCAGTCAATCACAGCCGAGGATTCTCCTGGTGAGAAATGAAATCTGAAGGTCAACTGATCAGCCCATACTCATGAATGTGAAATCCAAAATAAGGCATTTATCAAGTGAGTTCTGGGGATCTAACATCCCCCAACAAATTTCTATAAGGACTTTTTAAAAAATTTGTCAGATTTTCTTCTCAAAAGTTTCAGAATGTCAGTAGTCTATATCAGTTAGTGTTCATTTGATTTAAAAACAGAATAACTTGTAGAAAAGATTGATAATCTAACTATTTATATAACAAAAAGCTGTTTTCTAACTTAATTATACAAACTGCCATAGTTCTTTGTCAAGTTTGTTTTAAGTTTGTTCTTATAAGTGTGTTATACTTTTGTGAAAGTTTGTCATGATTGACTCGAAAAAAGAAACATTCTGTGTTCAATATATATTTGTTTTAAAGAAGGCAATTGTTTTTTGGTGAAGTTTTCGTTCACTGAACTCGATAGTGTTTTGGTTGTGGAGCAGATTTCAACTACATCCGCATCAGCACCAAACTTCAAGTTGAGTAAAAACTCTAAAATCAGACAATTTTTGCTAGTTTTAAACAATAAATGTCATTTACACATTTGAAATCATCAATCAACCATTGTTAGACCACCATTAGAAACCTGGAAGCATTGAAAGACGGCCGTTTCATCCTGGTATAGGACTCATCAGCAGTGCGCGTCCACGACTCCTGCTCGTCGCAGGATTCGAACCCGGGGCCTTTGGCATTGTAGGCGAACGCCTTACCATCGGACCACTGGACCGGCGTCCAACGGTGTTAATGTCTAACTCTGATTGATCTAGGAATTTTGCGCGACCTCACCCATTTGTCTTTGGTAGTTCCTGCCTACACCCGACAGGTTTGAACTCCACTGGTCACATCTAACAATGATTAACTGATGATTTCAAATGTGTAAGAACGCAAACCTCCAAAACTGTGCCCCAAAATGACATTTAGTTTTTGCAAAAATGATCTAGGTTTCGGACAATTCTTTTTTTTTACTGAATAAAAATCATTGTGACAAAAACACATTTGAAATCATGAATCGAGCAATTTTTAGACCATCAACATTAGAAACCTGGAAGCACTGAAAGACGGCCCGTTTCGTTCTGGTGTAAGGGACTCATCAGTGGCAGTAAGAACCTCGTAGGATTCGAACCCAGGACTTTCGTTCTTGTGCGCAAACGCCTTACCTATGGACCATTGAGCCGGTATCTAACGCTGGTAATGTGTCTAACTTCTATCAATTCACGGAGTTGCACAGCCACACACACTGTTTTCGGTACTAGTGTGGTGCGAGCTACTTATAAGTAGTATATGACGTGAGTGTCAACGTAATGTCTGGTGACAGCAGATGAGGGAAGATCAAGAAAGGAAGAGTTAGAACACACTGGAATTTGTATGAAACGCATGAATAGTGACAATGGATTGATGTTTTGCAACAGGAACAGTCCAGTTCCATATGATGGACTGATATTTTGCAAATGAACGATTTACGATATGGTTTTCCAACTTTACTGAGTAACTCTGTAATTTTCGTTAAATACAATTCGGTTGCCCCATCTGTGTTCTCGTTCACTACGGTAGTTACTGTATACACTCGAACAGTTTGAATTTAACTGATCACGACTTCTCATTAGAACTCGGCGATAATTCCTCACGGAGCTGGTTACTAGTGAGCGCAGGTAATTGCATTACAGGGTTGTGAAGATTGTTAAGTTACACTTTTGATATTATCAGTCAATCAAAACACATTTGTCCAATTCACATGTGTCCTTCCTTCAATCTCTTCTGCTATAATCTGATTGGTTGTTCAGTCATGACATTTCATCACGTATCTCAAGGTCGTACTTGTCAGTGTATGTATCTGCTATAATCTGATTGGTTGTTCACTCGTGGCATTTCATCACATATCTCAAGGTCGTACCTACCAGTGTATATATATACACGTATAAACCGAGTCGTTTTCTGTCACAATATTTATTGGCTTATTAGTTGAATGTGAAGCAAATTGTTTAAGTCTGAATTTTTAATCTCATCAGACAAGAAGTGATTATTACCGACAACATTAATCATGTATTCGTTGTCTGATTTATCAAGTGTTTTACGTAAATTTTCGTCTCATAATAGTTTCGTATGATGTAGACATAAATCTCAAAGGATAGCATTAAATGTAATGTTATGTTATCTGTTCAAACATAATAATTATTGTTAAAGCGGTATAACTTACATTTGTTGTCAATTGTGTAGTTAGCTCAAAAACTTTTTTCTCAGCTTGTTCAAGTTTACGTTTGAGTTTTTTTATCTTTACAAAAATTGCGGAAAAAATAGAAATAAAGAAATCATTGAAAATATTCGAAGAAGAAACGTGAAATTGAATTAGACAACCAATGTTTTGACTTGTTATTTGATATGCTTAAACTGTTTTTCGAATAAGATTTTTTATGACCTAAAAGAAGGATTTGATTTTGACCAATTCGGTCTAGCTTGATCTTACGGGTATGAGGGTGGTTGTCACTTCCCGGCTGCCCACACACCACGGAAGGTTATTTCTCGAAGGACATGAAAAGGAAGATAGATTAGTGTTGGTCTTAGAGACCTGGGAGCGTGACCGCAGAGCCCAAGGGACGACTGCTAGAGGTCGGTCACGCATGGCCTTTTTATGAAGGGTTTTTTGAGTATTAGCTCCGCTCTTGTTTAAAAGCCCTTAGTGGGCACCCTTACCGACGGAGATGGAAATCCGTGAAGTAGGGTGAGGTGTGACATTTTTAGGGTCGACCTTTTCTAAGCCTTCCTTCCATTCCTTGTGAGAAGGCAGCATCGCTACAGATGCTGTTTATTGTCCGAGGGAAACACCTTACGGCTGTCACACTCCTCTACAGTCAGCAGTACGACTTCGCCCTCAGACCTTGGGTAACTGCTTTTAGTCTGATCGTTCTCCAATCGACCTGCCTGGCATGGTATAACCTTCAGGAACATATGTTCCAGCCAGTATAGCTCGGTTGGGTCATCACGATAGGCAAGCCCGACCACCACGTCAACGTAGCAGCTATGACTACTAACGTTTGAGATGGGTTGGGGAGAATTTGCAAGGGGTAGGGTTTCATTCTGTGAGATGGATGTTGTTTTAGTTGTAGAGTTGTCAGCATCATTGTTCTTCTACTGAACAACAACAACATCATCATTACCAGTACAAAGTTCAGATAGATAGAAGTGAAGTATTTGAATTTCTTTATATGTATGACTGCTAGCTTGTCATGTGTTGACCTCGATTTTGATTGGTTGTTATTGATCTTTAACTCGTCACTGTGTGTACTTTTAGTTCGATTGTATCTAAGCATTGCTCATGTAGCCTCGGACAAGCGATTAAGCAATGCTGTCGTTAGGAAACGAGTACTAGGTAAGGATGGCAGATCTATAGATAAAGTATTCGCTCCGTCCTACTTTATGGCTGTGAAACATGACCAGTGAGAGTAGAAGATGTTCATGGGTTACTAGTTTTCCATCATAGGTGTCTCCGAAGCATTGCTCGAGTATCGAGCGACAAACGAGTAAACAATGCTGTTATTAGCAAAGGGGTGCTAGGTAGGGATGACAAAACATTAGATGAAGTAGTGGAACTTCATTAGTTGAGGTGGTTGGGACATGTGTTGGATATGCCTAACCACCGACTGCCTCGATGATCTATGTTTTGTGGTGTAGGAGTAAACTGGAAGAAAGATAGGGGTGGCAGAAATCCATGAAGTCACTGACAAGTGGACTGAGTCATGTTGGTAAATGTAGGCTACATGGTTGGGGTCCGCGAGACTTAAGTTACAAATGACTAGATATCTTGAACGACATCCCTCAAAATCGTTTGCAATGGTGCAGGTGCATTCAGTATTTGTGTTCTCGAAAATCCTAAACTTCGCAGTTCGTCATCACCTTTATCTTTTTCTCTTAAGTTTATTTCACTAGACTATACTTCTTGAATAATATCGTCCAATCCTAATCTGTCCGATTACTGCTAATATTTCTGTTATCTCTACTGAATTGGTAATTACATCTCTGTGCTAATGTGGTATGGCCACTTGAACTGATTTACGTACGTTAGAAATTCTATGTTGTTGTTGACTGACTGACTGATTTGATTGTATCTCCCCTTGAGTTGGTTCTTAATCCTATGTTTGTCTTTGGTTTTTCTGATTGGTTGATGGAATGAAGTAGTGTCGCTGTGTTCGTTGACGTCAGTGCTAAGCTTCCAAAACATTTTTTAGAGAATTTCGAAAGCTCCAAAACGAAAAAATCCAGATCGGAGAATGAAACTCCATCACTAAAGACTATAACTTTTCAATGTCACTTAGAACAATGGAAAGAAGGAGCGTATCTATAGTGAAAGCTTTATTCCACAGTTAGCTTATGTACAGCGAAAACAAGGGTATTTGTAGGGATGCATACAACTTTCAGTTTCTAGAAATTCCTGAAACTGTACCAGCACAGAGTAACAGTATGAACAGATATCTAGTCAAGACCATGATATGTGACTCCGTATTTTCAAGATGTTTCCGCGAAGTTTCTATTCGATACTGATTGAATAACATGTTTCTCGGATTTCCGTTTCCGGCGGTCAGGGTGCCCACTAAGGGCTTTTAAACAAGAGCGGAGCTAATACTCAAAAAACCTTTCATAAAAAGGCCGTGCGTGACCGGCCTCAAGCAGTTGGTTGTCCCTTGAGCTCTGCGGTCACGCTCCCAGGTCTCTAAGACCAACATTAATCTATCTTCCTTTTCAGGTCCCTCAAGTGATCCAATCTATCAATCATTGTAAGTGTTTTAAGTAATATAACTCTATTTTGATGTAAGAAAAATTATAACATAATATACAAATAAAGTTTATTAATATAATCAAAGGTAAAAAAGAATTATGAAATATCATGATGAAATATGGAACTCACTTCTTCTGCTTGTTTTTCCTCTACCTAAAAAATGGAAATATTCATGTAAGTATTGTGAAGATTGTTCAATTACTTATTGAAAGCATAAATCGATCAATGTTGAGACTATCATTTGAAGTCTGGAATCGTTGTGGCAGCTAGTTCATCCTAATATGGCATTCATTAGCAATGCTCATCTAGGACTATTTACTTGTATGCATGCGGAAATTGAACACAGGACCTTCAGTCTTGCATGTGAACATTTATTCCCCTAGACTATTGAGCTGGCGGTGTTCAACAATGTTAATGTCTAACTTCAAACAATGTAAGATACTGAATGATCCCATCTGTTGTCTTTAGTAGGAAGTTGTTGGAGATGTTAGATCCGCATAACTCACTTAGAAAAGGTTCTAATTTTGTAATTTTATTCAGAAAATTTGAATTTCCATGTTGAGTCTCCGTGTTGACCTTCAGTTGACATTTCCCACTCGGAAAATCCTTGACTATCATTGGTTGATGGATTATTTTAGTACGCTATTTTGTGACTCTCCCAACGACGTTTCTATCATGTTGCATAAATAAACTCGATTTATGTGCTTGTCGACCTCAATTTTCTGGATGCTTGTAGAATAAACTTTCTACGTTTTGTCAAGACTTCTTCATCAACTTGGTGGGACCTTGAAACTATCGGATTAGAATAGCCTATCATGTCACTGGATCATTTGTCTTGGGTCTCGTTTACCGACTAAGATGAACTCGTAATAGCATTCAAGTATATCGACTGAAGAGCGTATCAGAAGCAGTGCCCACCGAAGGCGAAACGGCCGTTCAGTGCTTCCAGGTTTTGTAATGATAGTCTAATGTTGGTCGATCCATGTTTTCAAGAGGAAATGTGCGTCCTGACTCCCACTGCTAGCAATCATTCGTTTTTACTTTCTTACTTACGTCTGTTACCCCCCCCCCCCGAATGGAGCATAGGCCGCCGACCAGCACTCTTCAACCTTCTCTGTCCTGGACTTTCCTTTCCAGTTCTATCCAATGTTTGTTCATTCCTCTCATATCTTTCTCTATTTTTCAGCGTGTAATGTGTTCCTTGGCCTTCCTCTTTTCTTTTCGCCTTGAGGGTTCCCAGTGAGAGCTTGTTTCATGAGATAGTTGGGTGCTTTCCGCAGTGTGTGTTCTGTCTACATCCACCGCTTCTTCCTGATTTACTTCTGCGCTGGAATTTGGTTTGTTCTCTCCCACAGTAGGTTGTTGTTGATAGTGTCTGGCCAATGAATCTGAAGTATTTTGCGCAGAAAACTATCAATAAATACCTCAATCTTCTGGATGATAACGTTCGTACTTCTCCAAGTTTCCGCTCCATATGCCATCATTCATCATTATGCTAATAATAATTACGGAAATATTGAGGCAGTCCGACCAGGATACAGATATACCAAAAGAAACTGATGATCGTTTGAAGTTCCAAAGCATCAGTGGGAAGATTCAACAAAACCAGTGCGAATGAACTGATCTTGACTTCATTGCACAAGCCAGTAGCTATGTGGATAACACAATAGCATCTAAAGCGAACAGCACTGGGTTCGATATCCGGAGTGAACATCTACTGTGAAATGCAGATACATCCAACTAATAAGTTCCAAGTCGGATGAAACTCGCATCCTGGATCCAACTGCTAACCACCTTCCTCCTCTGCTAATATTTCTTTTATGTTTTCGCGTATAAGACGCTTAGTTAACCTACAGCTTACATTTCCCGCTCGAGAAAATCCTTGACTGTTATTGGTTGATGGATTATTGTAGTACGCTATTTTGTGGCTCTCACCAAGAGCCTCTCTATCATTGTATGTGTAAGCTTGAATTGTATGCTTAGCAAACCTTGACCTTTCTGGGTGCTTGTAGAAAACATTCTCTACGCCTTATCAAGATTTCATGCTCTAGTTAGTGAGACTTGGGACAATCAGAATAGAATAACCTATCGTGTCACTGTATCGTTGATCTTCGTTTTCGTTTACCGAGCAAGGTGAACTCGTAATAGCATTCAAGCATATCAATTTTGGCGAGCATATCAACTGCAAAGGAATTTACAAATTCACAAAATGAAAGTGCCATAATGCCTTCAAAGTAATAAACTGAAGTGGATGAGTTCGATTGAGAATTTGAAGGAACTTATTCGATATGAAGTTGATTTTATTTAAATTAAAGAATCATTATTACACATTGAATTTCCAAAGTACAAATCTTTCAGAAAAAAAAATTTCAGTGAAACTATTATTCTAAAACAATCCGTTTCACGCGGGTGAAGAGATGTTTTTTATCCAAAACACTATAAACTACTGAAATATGTGAATAAGTAGCTTAAAATTAAGAAAAACGTTTTATGTTTTGCAAAAATTTCCCACCTAGTTAAAAATCTGTTTGTAAAAAACAAGTAAATATTTAAAATTTCTATCAACATATTTATCGTCATTTTTATCAGCTAAATTTTTCAGTGACTGTTATTCAAGACTTCCTCCTGAATAGGGAGGAACTACAACAGACCTTTGTAGCAGTTGTTAGTATACACTTATGAATAATTGTCTGATGTGGAGAACCCGCCAGTTCACTGACTTTATAATTTTTTTAAACCAGTTTGTAATTTTTCTTTTAACTTCCATGCGAAAAAAATCAATAAAATTTTATGCTCGTCACTAGGTATGCTCGAAACTGTTACGGGTTCACCTTAGTTCATAAACGAGAACGAAACAATGAACCAGTGACACGGTAGGCTACTCTGATCCGTTGACCCAAAAAGGAACTAACAAAAAAGTCTAGAAAGTGTATTCTACAAACACCCAGCCAGCACAAAAATCGCGTTTATTTATACACCATAGAGACGTCCTTGGGTGAGTCAACAAAATAGCACACTAAAATAACACAATAACCAATCACAGCCAAGGCTTTTCCTGGTAGGAAACATGATCTCAGGGTCAACTGATCAGCACATGAATAAAATCCAAAATAAAGACATTTATCAACAGAAACACAAATGAAAAAATGAAAAAGTGTAATAACCCGTCTTACCGTAGATACACATGAACCATTCGAAGTCAGAGATAGTCTTGAACCATTATTCACTAGTTTAAAAAAAACACATTCAAACAGTAATCAGCAGTACAAAATTGAAATAACATTGAATAATATATAGCAAATAGGTTTGCAAAACAAAAACTAGACATGGCTATTCGTACAACAACAATTTGTCTATATATATATATATCATTTTATTATTATTGCATTTGTATGAGCATAACTCCCGACATGGAGCGCGTCTGTGGTTACTACTGATCTCAAAGCCGGATAAAGGAGGGCGAGTTAGGAAATGGTTTGGCGACTTAATGCCGTAAAAAACTGATTCGCTAAAGAGACATTAATCACTTAAACTCTACCTTGAAAGTTAGATGGTCTTCATTTAGAAGAGTTATGACGTTTCCTGATGAAAGTCGAGTTCGTTTGGAAGTCACTAGGCCAATGCTCTATCAGATAATGAGAGCAACCACTAATATAAAGGTACATGGAATGTTCGTACAATGTGGGAGACCGGAAGGTAGGCTCGGGACAGAGTAGGTTACGAGAATGCTGGTTGGTGGCATATGCTCCGTTGGGAGTAACAGGCGTAATTAAGTAAGTGAATGTATAACGTCAAACCGTATTGGTCTAATAATAACCGGCATCACACAAACATCGTTCACCTAAGAGCATGATATACAGAAATTGAGGCGAACATTTATTTCAAAGCATAATCAATGGTTGATAGTAGATGGTAGATTGAAGTCAGATCACCAGCCTTCAGTCAGTCACTTACAACATAGAGCTTCGTTTGTACGTAAGTATGTACATCAGTTCAAGTTACCATACCACAATACCACAGAGAAGCAATCATCAATTCGAATCCCATAAGAGTAGAGGTAGTAGAAGTATTAGCAGTAATCGGAAAGATTTAGGTTCGGAGAAATTATTAAAAAGGTATAATCTAGTGAAATAAACTTAAAAAGAAAAAGATAAAGGTGATGAGGAATTCAGAAGGTTAGAATTTGAGAGAACACAAAGAATAAATACACCTGTGCCATTGCAAACGGTTTTGAACCATGTTGTTCGAGGTCTCTAACCATCGATTATTATCATCTCGCGGACCCCAACCAGGTAATCGACACCTACCAACATGACTCAATCCACTTGTCAGTGACTTCATGGATTTGTGTCATGTTTTGGTTTTACTGCCCCTAGCTTTCTTTCGACCTACACCTAAACCATAATACATTACCTATTGACCTGCCATCCTCACCTAGGACCCATTTCCTAATAACACCATTGCTCACTTGGATGTCCCAGGATATACGAGCAATGCTTCGACGACACCTATGATCGAAAACCAATAACCGACGAATATCTTCCACTCTCACTGGCCATGTTTCACAGCCATAAAGTAGGACGGAGCGAATTACTGCACAGCAGACTCGTCCTTTAGTCAGCTAACGGATATCTCACCCACGCCGTAAGTGATGCAGGTTGGCAAAATCCAATCGAACCTTCGGTATCCGTGCTGAGATTTTGTCAGTCACCAGACTATCAGCACTGATGAAAATCCCGACATAAGTGAAGCGATCAAGACACTCAACAACTTCACTTTCTTTCACTAGTTCAGGTGTCGATACAACCAGTATTGCATCCCAAACATGCTTGTATTGTTGCTTATGATAGCTGAGCCAAGAACTCATCCCTATACATATCCAACTGAACATCTCACAAATCCTACCCGCTCCGCTCTTACACACACAACCACACAATAACCAAACATACAATTAACATTGACAAAATAAAAAAAAATTCCTAATTACACACACACGTATATTCTTTTCAACTTACCTCCGCCAAATCCATTCACTATTATTTGTAAATCTGATGATTCTGGACAGCAGCTAAAACTACCACTTGTTGTACCAATTAAACTTGCTGGTGTAGCATATGGTAATTTAATTGGTGTCCCTGGTGGTGCACTTATACTACCTGGGAAATTGAATACATTATTATTATTATTCTGTTGATTAAATGCATGACTACCACTATTACCACTACTACCATGATTACTACTCATCATCATCATCATGGCTGGCGCACCTTTCATCATCATTGATAAACCAGCATTGGATGGCATTAACTGACTATATAAATAAGATGGTGACAAGGGGACAATCCCATAAATTCTCTCAGCATCATCATTATCATCATGATGACTGACCACAGCCGACAATGATGATGACGATGATCGATGTTGATAAGGATGTTGATGTGGATGATTGTCAGTTTGACGTTGTTTCACTCGGGTCAAGAAGCTTTGCTGTTGTTGGTGTTGTTGTTGTTGTATTAAACCGCCGTCTACATTCGATAATCTTGATGGAATAAAATAACGATGTTGAAAATGATTCTCTTTCATAGCATCATGAGACGTCATTCTACGTAATCGATTGTATGTTGACGGTTGCATTGGATCATCTTGTCGTGTCATACAGCTGCTATAAGGCATAGTAGATTTCAATGAAGATGCTTGAATTCTGTAATAATCATTGGCTAAGAATTCTTCTGTATCTGATGCAGAATTGAATTTTGTCAATTCATTGATTTTCTTACCGTTATCTATACAAATAAACAATGAAGTAAGATCGGATCACTTGTACTACTGAATAACAAATTAAGTAGTAGATTGACTAGAAAAGATAGAAAATGTTAAGAGACTTAATCATATAAAACACTGAATGTAAACGAAGTGATTTTGAAAGCGGAGAGCTCTTTGAAAGGTCTAAGAGTCTTTGGTACGATTCTCAACATGCTAAGAAATGTTCATTGTTGAACCATATACTAAGATGAAACAGCTGTTCATAAGATAAATTAGGTGTTCTCGCGCAAGACTGAAAGTCATCAGTTCGAATCCTACGGATAACAGGAGTCGTGGATGCGCACTGCTGCTGACAAGTCCCATACCAGGACAAAACGTCCATCTTTCAGTGCTTCCAGGTTTCTAATGGTGTTATTGCTACGTAAGGATTGCAGATCAATAGATGAAGTAATGAAACTTCATCAGATGAGGTGGTTGGAACAAGTGTTACGAATGCCTAACCACCGACTGCCTCGACGAGCTATGTTTTGTGGTGTAGGAGTAGGTTGGAAGAAAGTTAGGGATGGCCAAATCAAAACATGGCACATATCCATGAAGTGACTGACAAGTGGAATGAGTCATGTTGGTAGATGTAGGCTACGTGGTTGTGGTCCGCGAGACGAATGTCACCAATGGTTAGAGACCTTGAACAATATGGCTCAAAATCGTTTGCAATGGCACAAGTGCATTCATTCGTTGTGCTCTCTCAAATCCTAATCTTCTGGATTCTTCATCATCTCTGTCTTTCTCCTTCTAAATTCATCTCACTGAATTATACTTCTCGAATCATATCTTCGCTCCCTAATCTCCTCCATTACTGCTGATACTTCGACTATCGCTATCACTCTTGGATTTGAACTGACAGTTACGTCTCTGTGCTGAGGTGGTATGACAACCTGAACTGATGTACATATGTACGAAGTTCTGCGTTGCAACTGACTGACTGACTAACTGACTGATCTAACACATTGGTCGATTGATGATTTCAAGGTGATCAATAAATGGTCAATATGATGAAGTAGATTGAAAGTGAATTTGAAATGGTTCTTTTTGGTTTATTTCGACTAAGATTTAGTTTAAGAAATGAACAGACACAGACATGAATCAATCATTGTTAGACAATCATTAGAAACCTTGAAGTACTAGACGGTCGTTTTGTACTAGTATGGAACTCATCAATAGCAGTGCGAATTCACGACCCTTGCACGCGGCAATCGAACTCAAGACCGTCGGTCACATATATGAAAAACACTGAGCCGACGTCCAACAGCTTTATTGTCTAACTTTGATCAATCTAAGGTTACGCACAACTTCACCCATTGTCTTCGGTAGTTACTTCCTCCACCCGAACAGGATTGAACTCCACTGGTCATGTAGTGCCTCCATATTCATTTATTTGAATTCGCTTACATTTAATTTGGTCAAGCCTTTCGATTAATTTATTTAACTAAGCCATTTGTATAACAATAACTTATGTTATGTACCATTGGCTTTTATTATTGTGTGGTTTGTATGACCTGGTATGACTGAACATGGCTTACCAACTACGAGCATATGCATCCGATTCGCTTTAATATTGATCTCTGAAATACCGCAATGACTCAGATATCTTCCTATGTATATATACGAACATTTTAATCTTATTAATTCAACTCGCACATTCGCCCGTCCACTCACTAGTGTGCCTGCCCGGTCTGCTTGTGGTCTGTTATCCCATTTTGTGGTGTGCAAAAATAAACGTATTCAACACTTCGAGTTTACCTTCTGATTTATAAACCATCAGACACTATTTAGTAACGACTGTTTGAACGAGCTAATTACGAAGCCTAAGAACACGTAGAAATTGGCCACCACAGTCATTGCTTCTCACTCAAACTCTAAGAATATTTTTTTTTTGACAAACTAGTCACTATTAAGCGCCTAATTATTATTTGTAAATAGAGTTTTGTAAAAAAAAAATCTGTTCTTACAACTTACCATTACTTGAAATGGACATCATTCGTCGTCGTTCATGTTGATTTAACAAATCTTCCACATCTGAGCAGACATCATTTTTTTTCAAATCCCAACTAGGATATTCATTAGTTAAATCATCGGTATTCATTTTAGGTATATTTAAAGATGGGGAATTGTTGGATTCTCTATCACCGGACTTATTAGACCAATGGAATCCAGAATTTAATGATGAATAATTATTGTTAGTTTGTGTGTGATGATTGAGACAAGTTGATTTTGTACTACTAATACCAGTGTTTGGAGAGTTAAGCGCCAAAGATGGTGATGTTGGTGAACTTTTTTCGATGTTCAAAGTTTCATTATTCATAGTTAAATGATCAATTTTATTGCTTGCTTTTTGTTCAATTTGAGTTTCAGTTGTTTGTTTATTTTCATTGATACTTGAACTGAAATGAAGAAAAAATAATTTATGATGTTGTTTTAAATAAATTTAAAACAATCAAATTAATTGATAATTTTTATTTATAGTATAGTTTTGTTGAGCACCTTTTTAATGGCGCCAAAATCTGGACTTCAATTTTATTACCAACTATTGAATATGCTTACTTACTTATTTACTTACGCCTGTTAACCCCAATAGAGGAGCATAGGCCGCCCACCAGTTTTCTCCAAACAACTCTGTCCTGGGCTTCCCTTTCTAGTTCTTTCCAGTTTTTATTCATTCTTCTCATATCTTTCTCTATTTCTCGGCGTGTAATGTGTTCCCTGGCCTTCCTCTTTTCCTTTTGCCTTGAGGGTTCCATGTGAGGGCTTGTCTCATGACGCAGTTGGGTGCTTTCCGCAATGTGTGTCCTATCCACTTCCACCACTTCTTCCTGATCTCCTCCTCCACTGGAATCTGGTTTGTTCTCTCCCACAGTAAGTTGTTACTGATCGTGTCTGGCCAACGAATACGAGGTATTTTGCGTAGACAGCTATTAATAAACACTTGTATCTTTTGGATGATGGCTTTGGTAGTTCTCCAAGTTTCCACTCCAAACAGTAGAACTTTCTTGACATTTGTATTGAAAATCCTGATTTTGGTTTTGGTTGAAAGTTGTTCGGAGTTGCAGATATTTTTCAATTGTAGAAATGTAGTCCTTGCTTTGCCAATCCGCACCCTCACATCTGCATCGGATCCACCTTTCTCGTCGATGATGCTACCCAGATATGTAAAGGTGTTAACGTCCTCCAAGGCATCTCCAAGAAGAGTGATTTGGTTGATGCATGTTGTGTTGCATCGGAGAATTTTTCTTTTTCCTTTATGTATGTTGAGACCTACTGCTGCAGAGGCTGCTGCTACACTGGTCGTCTTCTCTTGCATTTATTGTTGAGTGTGCGATAGAAGAGCCAGGTCATCTGCGAAGTCCAGATCGTCCAGCTGCGTCCTAACTGTCCAGTTGATACCGTGCTTCCCTCCAGACATCGACGTCTTCATAATCCAGTCAATGACCAGGAGAAAGAGAAAGGGTGAGAGTAAGCAACCTTGCCTGACACCGGTCTTCACCTCGAACGAGTCTGTCAGCTGACCTCCGTGCACGATTTTGCAGTTGAATCCATCATAAGAGTTCCGTATGATGTTAACTATTTTCTCAGGCACACCGTAGTATCGAAGAAGCCTCCATAGTGTTTTCCTATCCACGCTATCGAATGCTTTCTCGTAGTCGATGAAGTTGATGTAGAGTGGTGAGTTCCATTCAACTGATTGTTCCATAATGATCTTCTCTTCAATTTCTGTATATCTTTTTTTCAGGTGAATAATACCCCATTTAAGTGACGATGGCAATAAGAAGCCAATTACGAATTCAATTGTTTACGCAGACAGATATGCAAATACAAAGTGTCAGAAACAAAATGAATCAAAGTGTCGAGAGGGGAAATGAGCCAACTCAATCTAATGAGGCATGGCTAGTTAGTTATAGTCATACAAAATAGCCAGACACGCGATAAGTAAAGTAAGGAATTCACATTCGTAATCTAGTAAAATCAATCAAGGTTATAAGTGAATAATTTACAAGGTTGAAAGTCTCGTGAATAACTGGGACAAGCCCTTTAAGCTCGGTATATAAGTAGTACACACTACACACTCATTGCTCAATCTCGAGAAGGATATTAATTTGGAAGAATTCGAATGGAAACATGTCAGTCACTCAATCAATCAGTCAGTCAGTCAATTACAACGTAGAACTTCGTATGTTCGTACATCGATACCACATTAGCACAGGAACACAATTGTTAAGTCAAATTCCATAGTGGTACAGATAGAAGAAGTATTACCAGTAATACAGAAGATTAGGGTTTAAAGATATGATTCGAGAAGTGCATTCTAGTGAAAGAATTTTAAAAAGAAAAAGATAAACGTGATGAAGGAGTCCGAAGATTAGGAGTTGAGAGAACACAAAGAATGAATGCTCCTGCATCATTGCAAACGGTTTTGAGCGATGTTATTCGACGTCTCTAACCATCGATTATTATCATCTCGCGGAACTCAACTAGGTAGTCTACAATAACCAGTTGTCAGTAAATTCATGGATTTGTGCCATGCATTGGTTTGGCCACCTCCAGCTTTCTTCCAACCTACTTTTACACCACAAAACAGCTCGTTGAGGCAGTTGGTGGTTGGAAATTTGTAACACATATCACAACCACTTTAACTGATGAAAATTCAATACTTCATTTATCGATCTGCCATCCTTACATGGGACCCGTTTCCTAACAACTGCATTGCTTACTCGGTTGTCCCAGGATACACAAGCAGTACTTCGTAGACACTTATGATTTAAAACCATTGGCTTGCGAATATCTTCTACTATGATTAGCCATGTTTTGCAGTCATGAAGTAGGACGCTTGTAGACCCTTAGGGGCTACTGCCAGTCCCAAGCCCGGATAAAAGATGAGGGTTCGGCACAGGGTTGGCGACCGCATCTCGTAGAGAACTAACTCGCTAGGAAAACGATAACAAGAAAAAATAATTCAAACCATTTAAACTCTGCTCTGGGAGTTAGAAGGTCTTCTTTCAGAAGAACTATGGCTTCTCATGATGTCAAGCCGAGTTCCTTCGAAAATCATGAGGCCGATACCCTTTCTGACAATCAGAACCTTTCCACAACGTGCGCAGCCAGGAAGTAACATCGTTTTTTATCTATATGTGTGATTAGAGTTGATCAGTACATGACAGTCTAAATGATTATTAAGTTTCCAGTTAACGTGTTCTCATACAATTCACAATACACTATGATCATGTTATAATCTTGTAAACTAAATTAAATATTGTGAATTACCGGCTCAATAATCTTAATGGTTAACTATTTTTTTCTTAACTGTGATTCGAACCCATTAAATGGTCATAACTGCATACTTGCGTGTAACCGCATACTATATATATAACAAAACATCTATCCAATACTTCTTGAGCGAAGACGAAGGACAGTTTTCTGTACTGTCACATATGAAATCAATCTGTGACGAATACAGCCTATAAATCAAAACCAACCTTCATTTAAAACATTATTGATCAAAGAAAAAGAGGGGAGATAATAATTTTAACATAATAAGGTAACAATAACAATGATTAACTTGTTAAGTTCACGAATCACTTATTGCTAGACCACCATTAGAAACTTGGAAGCACTGGAAGGCGAGCATTTAGTCCTGGTATGGAACTCATCAATGGCAGTGTACATCCGCAACTCCTGTAGCTTGCAGGAATCGAACCCAGGACCTTTGTTCTTTTGCAAAAACGCCTGGATCACTAAGCCGGTACTTAATTTCTGGTGAGAAGTCAACCTTGTTCGGCTGTGAAGCAGTGCTCACCGAAGATAGTGGATGAGGTTGCACCAAAATAACTTGAATTAATCGAAGTTAGACATTAACAATGTTGGATGCCGCCGGCTCAGTGATGTAGAGGTTAGGCCTCCGAGTTGTATGAGTCAGGAATACCCACTACTGATGAGTTCCATACCAGGACAAAACAGCCATGTGACGCAAACAGATTTCTAATGGTGGCCTAACATAAATCAGTTCATGATCTCAATAAATTAACTCAACAATCTTCACAACCGCATAATTCAAGCAATGATTTACCTTAAACTTGTTATCACATCAGATAATTGTGTGACAGACGAATCGTTATTATCATTATTGTTATTGATTGATGAACTACGACTTAATCGATTGATTCTAGTGAATTCTGGCAAATCAGGCATCCATAATGATTCTTGTGCTGCTCTCATCCCTTCTTGTAGTCGTTTATGCATACGACGTGCATAATTACTTAAATTCCCCTCTTTCCCACATTCTTCCTCACCTTCTTCTACTTCGCCTTTTTGTGATTGTTTGACGTCTTGTTGTTGTTCTAAATGACACTGTCGTCTTTGATGATATTGTTCATTTGCACCAATCGAATTAGTTGATAATTTCATTGAATTCAAATTCAAATTTCCCGCCGCCGCCGCTGGTGATGATAATAATACATTTCTTGGCAATGAACCAATCATCATCATTGTTTGAGAATTACGCCATTGTGGAGGATGTTGATAACATGTGACACCACCATTGATCAATGATGGCGGCGTTGAATGATTCACAGGATAATTAGTAAATTCCACTGCACTATCCGATTGATAACCACAATCGATCAATCGATCCAGAATATTATCATGATGACCAATAGTACGAGGAGTGTTGTTATTATCTGATGAAATAGTTAAATGTTTCATATTGACAACTTTTAATGAATTCACTTCGAATAAATTTAATTTTGGTGTCGATAAATCTATTTGTGAATGTTGTGATTTATTCTCTACTTCATGTTTGTTGTTATTTGCATTAGATTCAATGTTCAATGGTTGTTTATTGAAATTTGAATGATTTTGTTGTTTTATTACTTTATCTGTGGATAATTTTTCTGTTAGCGGTTGTTTTGATTGCACCGATTCATTATTCATTTTTAATTTAGTCTGTGTTTGTATTTCAGGTGAATTATTCTTTTTCACTATTATTGAATCGTTATTCATTGAATGGTGGTGATTTGAATTGATAGAATTATTATTATTATGATTATTATTATGAGTGCTTTGATGTGTTAGTGGATAACGTTGTTTTAAAGCAACATATAAATCATGAGCTTTACGACGTTGTTCTGTATTATCGATTATTGATTTTTTATTGAGATTTTTATGTGATGATGATAAGCAATGAGACGGATTGTTATGATTATTATTGATTGGCATAGGTGATTGTTGTTCTGTTGTGTGAATTACTTGTGTTGTATTCATAGGTGTTGTTGATGTGATTGCGCTTGTAGATGTGGATGTGCGTGGTATGGTTGATCCATTCGAAGGAGTAGTTTCTGATGAGGAAGGATGGTTGACTTCTTTCACTGAATTTAATTATAACGAAAAAAAACACAAATATTAAAATTAATAATGATGTCATTCAAATTTATACAAATGTATTTATAGTATTTCAACTCGCTTTTTAAACTTTTAACTGCGTTTTTTAAAATTTTTTTGTAATCCTTAGAATGTCAGAAATAAATAGAAAAAACAACTTGATTTCGAATGAAAAAAGAAAAAGCCTTATAAAAAAAAGTTATTGAAGATGGATACACAGTGTCAAGAATGCGCGGCATTTCTTACAGATGTAAACTATTCTCAGGCAGCTACAAATATATATTATAAGGTTGTATATATAAAAAGGAATCGCGAGTTGAGAAGAAAAAAAACAGGAAAACTATCAAATAAGAAGATATGTGGTGATATTATCAATTTTGTTGAAGAATTGATAGAATTTTAAACCCGTTAATAACGATGGTAGAAATTCGAGAAAAAATAGAAAACATATTTTCTATAGGCCTTTCTCTTGAATCTATAAGAAGGATAATTTATAGACTTCAGATTACTTTGAAAAAGATTTCTTATACATCGGTCAATATAAATTTGGAATCCAGTAAAAACAAACGCCAAATTTATGCTCAAAATTTTATGAACATTGAAGATACATTTATAAAAGTCTTTATATAATGAATCTTCTTTTAATTTGTACTTAAGAAGAACCTTGGGAAGATCTACTACAAGAGGAAAACCGGCAAGTGCCCTAGTTCCATCAACGCGTGGAACCAATATAAGTTTAATATCGGCTATATATAACAGAAAATGAAGTTCTGTTTGCTAAAACATTTGTTGGTTCGGTGAATTCAGATAAGTTCATTCAGTTTTTTGATCAACTAATTGAAAAATGCAATCAAAAATCAATTTTTAAGAATTGTATTTTTATACTTGATAATGCGACGATTCATCACTCAATTATCACAAAAACTTTTTTGATGAAAAGGGAGTAAACGTTATGTTTTTGTCTCCCTATAGTTACATGCTTAACCCAATCGAATTCGCGTTTTCGAAAATTAAATCCATTGTAAGAAGATCTCTGTCGAGCGGACCAAACGAATCTTTTATAAATCTAATACTAAATTCTGTAAATCAATTAACCAGGGATGATTTACAAGGTTATTCAAGACACGTATGTCGCAATTGTTTAAAAGCGATTGCTAAAGATTTTAATTAAAAGTAGTTCTTATTTTATTTTTTCAAAAAGATTTTAAAAAACGCTGTGAAAATTTTAAAAACTTTTTTGGTTATTTTAAAAAACCCTGTTAAAAGTTTAAAAAACGAGTTGAAATACTACATATAACTCCGCTTGGATCCCCTCTGGGGTTACTGCTGGTCCCAAGATCGGATAAAGGAGGAGGGTTTGGCAAGAGGTTGGCGATCCCATCCTATAAAAAAACTAACTCGCTAAAAACGCAAGCGAACCAGAAAAATCAATTAAAAACCATTTTAACTCTGCCCTAGGAGTTAGAAGGTCTTCATTCAGAAGAGTTATGACATCTCATGATGTCATACCAAGTCTCTTAGGAAGTCATGAGGCCGACGCTCCTTCTGACAACCAGAGCAATCATTAATATTGTTACATGGAATGTTCGAACATTGTGAGAGACTGACAGACTATTCCAAGTTACTGCATAAATCAAAAGATACATCGTGGAGGTGCATGGAATCAGTCAAACGTATTGGAAGCAAGTTGGTAAGGAAAACCCAGGACAGAGTAGGCTGGAGAACAATGGTCGCCTGCCTATGCTTCATTGGAGGTAACAGGCGTTAGTTAATAGGTAAGTGAGTTCAATGACTGTTACATTGATTTCGATAATTTACTCGCACACAAATCTGATTAAGAATTTGTTTGAATTCAAAGCTAATCTTGTCATTTAAACATGATTATTTCGATTAGTTGAATAGCGATTATTATTGAAGATCAGTTTTATGTATTTCATCGTGTATTTCATCATGTGCTTATACTGGTAACTAGCTTGTGAACAAAGTCTCATAGTTCTAGTAAGAAGCAGTGACCAGTATAGTTCAACCGTGTGACATGTGAAACAGTTACCCACTGAATGCTATTGATGATTACTTGGTGACTTACTTACGCCTGTTACTCCCAAAAGAGGAGCATAGGCCGCCCACCAGTTTTCGCCAACCAAATCTGTCCTAGGCTTCCCTTTCTAGTTCTTTCTAGTTTTTGTTCATTCTTCTCATGTCATTCTCTATTTCTCGGCGTAATGTGTTACTTGGCCTTCTACTTTTCGTTTTATCTTGAGGGTTCCATGTGAGGGCTTGTCTTGTGACACAATTAAGTGATTTTCGCAGTGTGTGTCCTATCCACTTCCACCGCTTCTTCCTCATTTCCTCCTCCACTGGAATCTGGTTTGCTCTCTCCCACAGTTCGTTGTTGCTGATCATGTCTGGCCAACGAATCCGACGTATTTTGCGTAGACAACTGTTAATAAACACTTGTATCCTCTGGATGATGGCTTTGGTAGTTCTCCAAGTTTCCGCTCCATACAGTAGAACTAACTGTCTTGACATTTGTATTGAAAATCCTGATTTTTGTGTTGATTGAAAGTTGTTTGGAGTTCCAGATATTTTTCAACTGTAGAAATGCAGCTTTTGCTTTGCCAATCCGCACCCTCACATCTGCATCGGATCCACCTTGGTTTTCGATGATGCTGCCAAGATACGTAAAGGTGTCAACGTCTTCCAAAGAATCTCCAGCTATCGATGATGGTCAGGTAATATCGTAACTTGATTGAAGTTAGACATTAACAGCATTGGATTTTGTCCCAGTTTTCTAGAAGTTAAACGTCAAGTTAAACAACACTTAATGTCCTAGGATATTTTATTCCTGTGTGTCAGTTAGCAGATGTCCAGTGCTGATTAGACAGTCTCATATTAAGACAAAATGGCTGTCCATTGCTCCCAAATTTTCAAAAAAACGGACTAACATTGACCAGTTCTTTAATTTCAATGAAAACAATCTACTTAGAATGAATGTATGTCAGTATCACTTCTCGACATTTGCAAAAACTTTGCATGATAAGATTGTGAAGATTGTGGAGTTACCTTTTTTGAAATCATGTATCGATCAATGTTTGACCATCATTGTTACGCCTGCATGTAAACATGTCATTTTGATATACTTGAACTATTATGAGTTTACCTTAGTCGGAAAAACGAGAGCGAGGATCGAGGATCCAGTGACGCGACAAGCTACTCTAATTCGATTGTCTCAAGCCCCTATTGAGTAAACGAAGAAAGCTTGGTGTGAAGTAGAACATGTATTCTACAACCATTCAGAAATTACGAGGTCCGAGTCCAGAAGATAATCAGGATCCCGGACTAGGGATACGGGACCGTGTCCTGGTCATAAAACGTTACACATAATGCGTATTTATACATTTTGGTCGAATAGGAAACAGCATCGAATTCTGTGACATTGACAGTTAAGACGACCAATGGGAAAAAACATTTGAAGTGACACTGATAGTCAGGACGACCAATAAGAAACAAAATTGGAGTACGTGACGACCATAAAATTGACCAATAGGAATGAACCAATAACAATTGACCAATAATTCTCTTATGATATTGGATGAATATCCTAACAATCATCATCATCAGAAATCTGGAAGCACTGAAACACGGCTGTTTCGTCTTGCTAAGCAACTCATCAACATTGAGCAACCATGACTTGCTCTACTCACAGGATTCGAACCTAGGACTCCTCTTGCGCGCACGAACACCTTAACCTCTAGACCATTGAGCCAACATCCAACAATGTTAATGTCTTACAGAAATAACAGGGAAAATATAAATCTGTCTCCCTCTCTCTCTGTTTAATGGTTTACTAATTCACTTGATTTCGTGAACAATTCGAACAATCGAATATAATGATCATTAATATAGCGAATTTTTCACTGCTTATTTCAGGCTTTTGTTACAATAAAGACGGTTTGATATAAAAGCGTTCACAGTTATTGGAATATCATTTGAAATTTTTAATTTTTTTTACGAATTATAGAAAATGGCGACAAAACAATTTTATTTTTGATTGTTTTTAATTATTTAAAAATCAACATGGCGAAGTATTTATTGGCTATTTTTGAATAATTCTCACCATTCAATTGTCAATGTTCACTTGATACATAATAAATGTTTAAATTTTGCTTGAAAATTTAAGAAAACTTAGTGTTTGTCTTTTTATTTATGAATAGGAGCCGAGCGGTTTTCTTTAATAGTTACTCGCTTTATTCAATTGTATACGGTATATATGTAACCAAGATATATGTGTGTTTGACATATCTGAATTCGATATGTAAACTAACTCACCTTGATCAAAACTAACTACTTTAGTGAGAAGGCAAGAATGGAAGTGGAGATCTAGTAGGCCTTCGCATCATATGCATAAATACTCACTTGTTGGCGACGTTAGATGTCCGAGAACTCACTTGGAAAAAGTCCTAAATTGGGGATTTTACTCTGAAATTTGGAATTACTATGTTTTCGCGCCAAGAGACGCTTAGCTGATTTTCAGCTTACATTTCTGACTCGGAAAATCCTTGACTGTCATTGGTTGATGGATTATTTAAGGGCGCTATTTTGTGGCTATCACCAACGGCGTTCCCATCATTGTATAAATAAGCTTCAGTTGTGTGCTTGTGGACCTCGTATTTTCTGCGTGTCTGTAGAATACATTCTTTACACCTTAGCAAGACTTCTTTCTCTAATTAGCGGGGCGCGGGACAATCGGATTAGAACAGCCTATCGTGTCACTGAATCGTTGATCTTTGTTCCGTTTACCGAGTAAGGTGAACTCGTAATAGTTTCAAGCATAACACCATATATATATATATATATATATATATATATATATATATATATATAAAGGAGGAAGAGGGTTGGGCATGCGGTTAGTGACCCCATCCCATCGGAAAGAGTTAGGCATGCATGTAAACACGTCATTTAATATGCTTGAACTGTTACGAGTTTACCTCGGTCGGAAAATGAGAGCGAGGATCCGGTGACACAACAAGCTACTCTAATCCAAGCGTCCAAAACCAACATTGAGTTAAAGAAGAAGACTTGATATGAAGTAGAACAAGTGTTCTGCAAGCATCCAGAAAGTGTGAGGTCCGAGTCCAAAAGAGAATAAGGATCCCTGACAAATGATCCGGGTCTGGGTCATAAAACGTTTCAAATAATGCTTATTTATACCTTTAGGTCGAATAGGAAACAACATTGAAGTCTGTGACATTGACAGTTAAGATGACCAATGGGAAACAACATTGAAGTACGTAACATTGATAGCTAGGACGACCATAATATTGACCGATAGGAATTGACCAATAGAATTAGACTTACAAAAATAATTCTCTTAGAATATTTAATGAATATCTTAACTAAAAGTAACACAGTAGAAAAATTCCAATCTAGAAATTGGTCTGTGGCCTATGTTCCACTGTGGATAACAGCTGTAAGTAAGTGATTAAGTAAGTAAGTAAGTTGATTTTACAGCAATGCAATGAAACTTTTCAACAAATGTAATTTTAACTACTCACAGACAAATATAGGGAAGGAGAGAGAGAGAGTGAGAGTGAAAGGGAGAATTAAAATGAGAGCGACTATTATTAAATGAGATCATTGTTCACAGTCTCTAATTGTTGAGCACTATTCTTCTCACTCACTCACAATCCCTCTTCATCTATTCATATCAGACATTCAAAAGTTGATTCGAATCCTGCGAGATGCAGGAGTCATGGATTCGCACTGCCACTGATGAGTAGTCTCATACCAGGACGAAACGTCCGTCTAAACAGTGTTTCCAGGTTCCTAATGGTGGCAGTCTAACAATGCTGCCTGGTTGGAGTCCGCAAGACGAAAGTCACCAATGGTTAGAGACCTCGAACGACATGGCTCAAAATTGTTTGCAATGGCGCAAGTGCATCCATTCGTTGTGCTCTCTCAAATCCTAATCTTCTGGATTCGTCAGCACCTCTCCCATTTGTCGTTCTAAGCTTATCTCACTGAATTATATACTTCCTGAATAATATCTTCAAACCCTAGTCTTCTTCGTTATCATTAATACCTCTACTATCTTTATCACTATGGGATTTGATTTGACAATTGCGTCTCTGTACGCTAATATGGTATGGCAACCTGAACTTATGTACATACGTACAAAGTTCTACGTTGCAACTGACTGACTGGTCTAACACAATGATTGATTGATTAATGATTTCAAATGTGCAAAAAACACACTAACTAATCTTCTAAACTCTATTTGAAAAATCATATAAAATTAACTTACAATGTGGTGTTTGACATGACATATAAGGTAAATATTTGTAAGTAAGATTAGTTGGCATTGTTGTTACTGAAGTAGTCGGAATAGTACTAGTAGTACTAGTAGTAGTAGTAGTAGTCGGAGTACTGGTAGTACTGGTCACATTTGTATCTGGTTTAGTTTTTGCTACTAATACTGTTGAACTAGTTTGTTGTATTGAATGGCTAGATTGATGACTCGATGCATTGTGAGTTTGATTTGTTTCGTGAATTCTTGCACGACGACTTACAACTGGATTGTTCTTGTTAACAATTGTATTACTATGAGTCATAGTAGTGGTAGTAGTAGTAGTATTAGGGGATGTACTACTCATGGTAGCGACAACAGGGGGAGAACTTGTTACACCCATATAATTATATGGCTGTGTAATTGGCATAAAATTCAAATTCATTGCTTGTGTAGCTGGACGATAGGAGATTGGTGGAACAAATGGCTGGATTATTGGTGTATAGGTATGTTGTACATGGTGGTAAGCAGGATTGTGTATTTGTGTAGGTGGGGCTGGTGGAGCCCCGCATACTGATTGGTTCATTGTAGTGGTAGTAGTAGGACAAGTATCATTTGATGAATAAGGAGGAATACTAGTTTTGGTGTTGTGTGAACTTGTTGTTGAACGATGATAAGTTTGTTGAATAGATTGAAAATGCTGTTGTTGTTGGTGCTGTTGCTGTAGGTGGTGGTGTTGCTGCTGATTGACTCGTTGTTCAACGACACCATTCCCTGACGTATAACGTCGTGCGTCATGAAGATAATTTGAAGATGTTGGATGCATCGTTGCAAGAGAATGTTCTGATGTAGTAGTTGGATGCTGAAAAAAGGCAAGAAAAAATTTTAACAGCTAAGAAATGGTTTCGGTGTAGGAAGGATTTGATTTTGACCAATTTGGTCTCATGCGCTGGTACGGGTATGAAGGCGGTTGTCACTTCCCGGCTACCCACACCGTGGAAGGTTGTTTCTCGAGGCACCTGAAAAGGGAGATAGATTAGTGTTGGTCTTGGAGGAATGGGAGCGTGACCGAAGAGCCCACGGGACAACTGCTTGAGGCCGGTCACGCACGGCCGTTCTATCAAAGGTTTTTCGAGTATTAGCTCCGCTCTTAAAAGCCCTTAGTGGGCACCCTTACCGACGGAGAAGGAAATCCGTGAGGTAGGGTGAGGTGTGACATTTTTAGGGTCGACCATTTCTAACCCCTTCCTTCCTTGTGAGAAGTCAGCATCACTGCGAATGCTGGTTGTCCGAGGGAAATACCTTACTGCTGTCACACCTCTCCATCACAGTCATCAGTACGACTTCGCCCTCAGACCTTGAGTAGCTGCTTTTAGTCTCATCGTTCTCCAATCGAACTGCTGCCTGGCATGGTAGAACCTTCAGGAACATACGTTCCAGCCAGTATAGCTCTGTTGGGTGATTACGATAGGCAAGCCCGACAAGCACCACGTCAAGGTAGCAGCTTCGGTCAGGCTCAAAAATTGTACAGTGAGTCAATATGACTAGCCTTCTAAATGCATATTTTCAACATCAAAGATAATCAGTTATTGAGTTGTAGTAGTAGTAGTAGTTTGAGTAGTATTAATATGAGTAGGAGTAGTAGCAGTAATGGAAGTAGTTGTAGTAGTAGTAAGCGACGCCATGTAGGTCTGGTCATTTACAGCTGAATCAATTCTATCGACCCATCACTAGTTTAATTGACTCAATATAGTTTAGGTTTACGTGAAGACGTTAGAATGTTATCCGGCTAATTCAGTGTAGTGAAGTGTTTTTTTCAAACACCAAAAACAGTACTAATACCTTCAAGATTATTAGGTATGTCTTGATGAGAAGTGCCGACTGACAGGAAATCTGGTCTCTTGCCGATTCTCTGTGACCAACTCATGTGTAAACAAGGTGCAGGTGATGTCATTTGAAGCCAACTGTCTTGATTTCAAACTAGCTGGCACTTATCAGCAAGGCACATTCAAAACTTTAAATTAATTGATGACCGTTGTATAAAATGAAATGTCGGTCTTGTAGTGACATTCTTAGCTAATAACTACGTACGTATTTATCGATTCAGATAAACTAATAGCCAAGAGTAAATTTTCGTTAATACAGTGAAATAGTTTATAATCTACATGTGGTCATAAAATTTCCATCCTTTCCATAAAGAGTGAACAGAGAGAAAACTACTTATCTGGCTGGATATGAAGAGGTAACTGAGTGGTTTAATCTGTTCGACTTTTAAACAATTTGAAGTCCTAGGCCTCACTCTGGTTCGATCTATAATACCCTGAAAGATTTTATTCAAGTTAATGAGATGGAGGAGAGAATTTATAGCTCAGATGAATAATTGTAGTGTATTTTTTCAGAAAAATCATCGGCGAACATAGGATCAATAAACAGATCAAAAGGGGGATACAATCAAAACAAAGGTGCAAACAACGACAGGTTTTAGGTCAACAGCGACCAATCAAGATTGAGGTGACTCAATGCTTTCATTGGTTCGACCTTCAAACAATTTCGAGTCCTATGCTTCACTCTGGTAGGATCTATAACACCCTGAAGGATTTTATTCAAGATAATGAGATGATGGAGAAAATTTGTAGCTCAGGTAGATCATGATTGTGGTGGTGTTTTGTTCTCTCTGAGCTGAGGATGTTTATGGTAGTGAAGCTTTCATCACTGTTTTTCTGCTGAACAACATCATCAGCACAAAATTCAGATAGATAAGAGTGAAGAGTATTCGAATTTCTCCACGTCTGACCCGTAGATTGTTATGTCGACCTCGATCTTGATTGGTTGCTGTTGACTTTAAACCCTTCGTTGTTTGCACCTTTGTTTTAATTGAACCCACCCCTTGTGATCTGTTTCTTGATCACCTGTGTTCTCCTTCACTACAGTAATAGTACGGTGATATAGACAAATCATTACTATTATTCAAATGACACTATCTGCTAAATTGGTTGTTTGAAGGTCTGAATCAAATTCAACACTGTTGAGTGTGAGTTAGTTACCCACCGAAGACAGTGAGTGAGGCGGCATAATACTATGAACTGACTGAAGTTAGGATGCCAAATCTAGAAGTTAAGTGTTCACGTATGAAACTGAAGGTCCTGGGTTCAATCCTCATGTGAGAAGGTACATGGATGTGCAATACTAATGAGTTACATACTAGGGACAAAATGGCCGTCTATTGCTTCCATGTTTCTAATGGTAGTCTCTAACAATGAGTGATTCATGACTGAGGTCAAATCGACAAAATTGACTTTTAACTGAAATCACGAACCGATCAATGTCGGAGTGTTTTCGAAGACTCGGAAGCACCGGACAGTCATTTCATTCAAGGATGGCACCTCTTAGAAGTGCACACTCACGATTCCATAAGCAGGAATCGAACTCAAGGCCATTGGTCTTGCACACCAACTTCTAATCTCTATACTACTGAGTTGGCATAAATAAAATGAAGAGAGACACATTGTATAGAGGTTAATGTTTACGAAGTAGGCGTTAGTGAGACTAAGAGTCCTGAGTTCGATTCCCGCCAATGGCATTGTGGATGCTCTGATAATCTATGTCTTCACATCTGCATCAGATCCACCTAGTTTATCAATCATACAGCTCAGATATGTAAAGGTTTCCTCTATTTTCCAAAGCTTCTTCATCATGTTCGATTTAGCTGCTGTACGCTATGTATGTTGAGATATACTGCTGCAGAAACTGTTGTTCCACTGGCCATTCTTCATCTACATTCGTGTGCTGTGTATGCGAGACAAGAGCTAAGTCATCTACGAAATTCTACTCAACTTTGACAACAATACTTGAGAAGACGTGACCAATAGAGGAGTTCAACCCTGTCGGGTGTAGGCAGTAACTACTACCAAAGACAAATAATGGGTGAGGTTGCGCAAAAATCTCTAGATCAATCAGAGTTAGACATTCACACCGTCGGATGCCAACGACCTAGTGGTCCGACGGTTAGGCGTTCGCACACAATACCGAAGGTCCCGGGTTCGAATCCTGCGAGGAGCAGGAGCCGTGGATGCGCACTGATGAGTAGTCCCATACCAGGACGAAACGGCCGTCTGTCAGTGCTTCCAGGTTTCTAATGGTGATCTAACAATGATTGATTCATGGTTTCAAAAAAGCACTTACCAATCTTCACAACCCCGTGATGCAAATTACCTGTGCTCACTAGTGACTAGATTCGTGAGGAATCTTCTCCGAGTTCTAGTGAGAATTAGTGACCAGTGAAGTTCAACCTGTTCGGGTGTAGACAGTAACTACTAGCGAAGACTGTGTATGAGGTTGCGCAACTCTGTGAATTGATCAAGTTAGACATTAACACCGTTAGATACCGGCTCAATAGTCCGACGGTTAGGCGTTTGCACACAATACCGAAGGTCCCGGGTTCGAATCCTGCGAGGTACAGGATGCGCACTGCCACTGAAGAGTCCCATACCAGGACGAAACGGCCGCACTTTCAATGCTTCCAGGTTTCTAATATGGTGGCATTCTAACAATGATTGATTGATTGAGGATTTCAAATGTGTAAAAACAATACTATTGTCAACAGTTAAACATTTTAACCTATTTCACATATGTGTATACATATATATACATGTACTTACTTCATTCACTCCTGGAATAAATGTATTTGCATGTTGAATAGAATACTGTGGTTGTTGTTGTTGATGATGGTGATGCTGTTGCTGCTGATGATGGTGAGGAGGAGGATGATGATGATGATGATATGAATGATGCGGTGGCAAAGGTGGTGGATAATTCATATGAGAAGTGATTTCTTGAGTTGTTGTTATTGTTGTAGTGGTTGTTGGTATTGGTTTCATCATTGATTGAGTAGCATTCATTGGATTAGTAGTTGTCTGTAAAATATTTCCCGATAATTTATTCATACTTATTATAGATTGATCATGATTGATGATTGGATTGATATATGATTTCGGTGTTGTATGATAATATTGATTGATTGATGTACGTAAATGAGGATTGGTTGTTTGGTATGCGCTGTCTATACTACTCATTGTAGGAGTAGTAGTAGTATTAGTAGTAGTAGTAGTATGATTCATGATCAATGAATGATCGAAAATCGATTGATTATGTGGTGGAACATTCAAATATGGTGGGATACGATCACATCTTGTTGGAGATTCTTTCATTTTCAATGCTGATGACATGGATGCTGATGATGAGGATAAAGATGATGAAGGAGAAGCGATGGGATGTTGTGTATGCATGGTCGATTGTTGTTGATATAAATTAAAATGACGTGGCATTGGTATACCAGATGATGTTGACGATGGGGACGTGGAGATATTGCCTGTGGAAGTGGAAATAATCTTCGCTGTTGTTGTTGATGAAGGTGTCGGTAGTGTTGTGGTGGGTGAAGTTTTTTGTTCGACAAATAATTTTGGTGATAAATTTGACAAGAAATAAGAATTGTCCGGTTTAATTTTATTAGTTGTTGAATGTTTCGGTGATGGAGAATTTCCTTGTTTCTGATTATGATGATGATGATGACTGTGGTGATGACTGGATTTAGATTTAGATTGTTTAATATTTAAATCTAAAAAAAAAAGTAACAAACAGAAACATGATGATACAACGTAGAACATCGTACTTGCATACGTATGTACGCACGTACACACATAAGTTCAAGTTGCCATAGTGTAATGCCTCCACATAAACTTGAGTTCGCTTACATTTAATTTGGTCAAGCCCTTTCGATTAATTTATTTAACCAAGCCATTTGTATAACAATAACTTATATGATGTACCATTGGCTTTTACTTATTGTGTGGTTTGTATGAGCTGGTATTGTGGTGTGAGCTACTTATAAGTAGTATATGACGTGAGTGTAAACGTAATGTCTGGCAGCAGAAGATGTGGGAAGATCAAGAAAGGAAGAGTGGGAACACAATGGAATTTGTATGAAACGCATGAATAGTGGTGAAATGTCAGACAATGGATTGATGATGAATTGAAGATTTGCAAATTAACCGTTTACGATATGGTTTTCCGATTTTACTGAGTAACTCTGTAATTTTCGGGTAAATACAATTCGGTTGCCGTCACCGGTGTTCTCCTTCACTACAGTATGACTGAGCATTGCTTACCGCCTACGCGCATATGCATCCTATTCGCTTTATTATTGATCTCTTAAATACCGCGATGACTCAGACATTTTCCTATGTATATATATACGAACATTTTAATCTTATTAATTCACTCGCCCATTCGCACATTCACTCGCTAGTATGCCTGTCCGGTTTGCTTGTGGTCTGCTATCCCATTTTGTGGTGTGCCAAAATAAACGTATTCACCAACACTTCGAGTTTACCTTCTGATTTTGTAAACCGTCAGACGCTATTTAATAACGATCGTCTGGACGAGCTAATTACGAAGCCTAAGAACACGTAGAAATTGGTCACCTTAATAGCACATTAGCACACACACACAGAGAGAGAGATACAGTTGTCAATTAATATCCCATAGTAAAATAGAGGTAGTGTAGAAGAAGTATTAGCGATAATCGGAAAGATTACGATTTTCAGATTGTTATTCAAAAAGTATAATTTAGTGAAATAGATTTGAGAAGTGAATGATGAAGGTCATGAGGAATTCAATAGATTAGAGTTTAGGAGAATACAATGAATGGATGCATTTAGGTCATTGGAAATGGTTTTGAGTCATGTCATGATGATGATGATGTTGACGGGGAGAATATATAACACTTTACCAGTATTGAGACATTTAAATTGTGCAAATCATATTAAATTGCATTGCGGGGTTGTTGTGAAGATTGTTAAGTTTTATTTGTAACCATCCAGTGCTTCCAGGTTTCTAATGGTGGTCTAACATTGATCGATTCATGGTTACAAATAAAATCTTATTAAACATCTCATCTGGGAGCTTCAAACTCTGTTGAATTGATATCTATTTGGTTTTCATCTTTTCTCTTGGCCTTGAAGATTTCAAGTGAGAGGCTTGTCTTATGATGCATGTTAGGATATTCATCCAATATCCTAAAAGAATTATCGGTCAATTACTATTGGTTAATTACTACTGGTCCATTTTATGGTCGTCCTAGTAGATATCAATGTCACATACTCCAATGCTGTTTCTTATTGGTTGTCATGACTATCAATGTCATTTCAAATGTTGCTTCCTATTAGTAGTCTTAACTGTCAATGTCACAGAATTCGATGCTGTTTCCTATTCGACCAAAATGTATAAATACGCATTATCTGTAACATTTTATGACCACAACCAGGATCAGGGCTCGGTCCCGTATCCCTAGTCCTGGATCCTGATTCTCTTCTAGATTCGGACCTCATACTTTATGGATAATTGTAGAATACCTGCTCTACTTCATATCACGTCTTCTTATTTTTACTAAATATGTGGGGTTGGGATAATCGGATTTGAGTAGCATGTCTTGTCACCGGATCCTCGATCCTCTCTCACATTTTCTGACTAGGTAAACCCGCAATAGTTCAAGTATATCAAGTTGACGTGTTTACGTGCAGGCGTAACAATGCAGTTGGGTGTTTTCCTCAATATGTGTCCTATCCACTTATAGCATTTATTCCCGGTTTCTTCGTCTACTGGAATCTGGCTTGTTCTCTGCAAGAGAAGGCCGTTGACGATGATGTCTGGCAAAGGGATTTGGAGTTTCGTATGTGGAAAACGGTTGATAAACACTTGTATCATCCGGATGATGACGCTCGTGGTTCTTCAAGTTTCCTCCACGTAGAGTCTTGACATTTGTATTGAAAATTGTAACTTTAGGGCTGACAGAAGATAGTTGTTTTGAATTCCAAATATTCTACAGTTATAGAAATGTGTTCCCTTGCTTTGCTAATCCATGCCCTAACATCTACATCCGATTGAACTTGCTCATCAATGATGCTTCCCTCATATGTAAAGGTGTTTATATCCTCTTTTGTTTATGCTGAGACTGACTGCAACAGAGGCTCTTGCTACACAGGTCATCTTCTAGTGCATTTGTTGTTGTGTGTGGGGCACAAGGACTAGATCATCAGTGAAATCCAGATCATCAAGCCGCTCATATTCAGTGTTGATTAAACACCATTAACGAAAACCTCCCAATTTATTTGCCATATAAATGGATGAATTTAACATACCGAACGTTTTAAAAAAGAAAGGCTTCATTATTTTCAGTGGTTCTCTGTGTTATGACAAAGAAAATAGTTTTGAAATATTGTTCATGTCAAAATTTGAATAATTCGGGAGAAAAATATATGCTATCAAACAATGATTGATTGATGATTTCAAATGTGTAAAAGCGCAAACCTCCAAAACTGTGCCCCAAAATATCGTAACAGTGCTCACTAGTGACTAGCTTCGCGAGGAAATTCTCGGAGTTCTAGTTAAGAAGACGTGATCAATGGAGGAGTTCAACCCTGTCGGGTGTAGGCAGTAACTACCAAAGACAAATAATGGGTGAGGTTGCGCAAAATCCCTAGATCAATCAGAGTTAGACATTCACACCGTCGGATGTCGGCCCAGTGGTCCGACGGTAAGGCGTTCGCCTACAATACCGAAGGTCCCAGGTTCGAATCCTGCGAGGAGCAGAAGTTGTGGATGCGCACTGCTAATGAGTCCCATACTAGGATGAAACGGCCGTGTTTCAGTGCTTCCACGTGTTTCTAATGGTGGTCTAACAATGATTGGTTGGTGATTTCAAATGTATCAAACATTCGTCTAACTTAAACAATCAGCTCTCTGTCTCTCTCTCTTTCAATGTCCAATGACTTTTTTACTTTTTAAGTTTAGTCAATTTGCCGCGCTATACAAAATGATTATCCGTTATAATTGGTTATAGATTATCTTACAATTGACAAAGTGAAATTTCATAGGTTAAATCTCCTCCTCGAAATTCCTTTATTTATAGCCGGTTAAAAATGATATTTTGGTATAGTGAACAATGAAGAGTTGTGTAGATTGTTAAGTTACTATGAAATTATGAATCAATCAATGTTACAGTATCATTAAAAGCCTAGAAGCATTGGACAACCGTTTTATCCGGTTATGAGACTCATCAGCAGTGCACATCCACGGCTCTCACTATTCACAGGAATCGAACTCAAGACCTTCGGTCTTGCACGGAAACGTTTAACCTCTAGACCATTGAGCCAAAATCCGATGATGGTAATGTCTAACTGTAATCAATCTACTCTCTTCATATTCTACATGGTTAAATTCCACATGTCACAACTTCTTACTAGAACTCGAAGAAACTTTCTCATTGAACTAGTCACTAGTGAGCACATTATAATTTTCGTTATAGGGTTGTTGACGCTGGCTTAGAGTTCCAGAAGTTAAGTGATTATGAACAAGATCAGAAGTCCTAGGGTCGATTACTGCGAGTGCCAGGAGTCATGTATCCGCATTAATCGATTCATGATTTCAAAGTTATTCAGTTTGACATGATTTAATTTGAATAATTGCTATCGAAATGTCAGTGATTAGTGATTGTTGTGTAACTTGCTAAACGAATCTTATTCAATATTTCTTCAGTAGAATAGTGTTTCATCTAATCATTTAATAAAGTAAATAAAGGTTGAACTGGTTGTAATATTTATAAAAGCCAAAGTATGATAAACAGACCGTTTTGCTTTTTCAAACCTTTTCAGTACCATAATGAAACATATTGAAATACTCTTGATTAAAAATTATCTAACAGTTATTGTCACTGAATTTTTCACACTTCCAGTAGATAATGTGGTTTAAATTAAGTTAGATTAAGGAAGTTTGATTGTGCTGAATGATTTTAGTTAATTTTCAAGATACTTTGAAACTTAGATTTGTGTGTTATTTGATGCTTATCTGTGATGGAAATCTGAAATCACATGAAAGGAACTCTATTGCTCATTGTTGGATTCAAACATAATTCATTCAGTTTCAACATCTGAGAAGTTACACCTCAGCTGTCCGGCCTATGACTGAGGTATATACACATTAAAAGAGTACTACACATTGTGCTACTAGGAACTATGGTCACGTTGGGACTTGTTCGATAGTTTTCGATCGATAAATATAGGACTATACAATACGTGACATTAACTACTACTACTACTACTGTGGTGTGAGCTACTTATAAGTAGTATATGGCGTCAGTGTCAACGTAATGTCTGGCAGCAGAAGATGAGGGAAGATCAAGAGAAAGGAAGAGTTAGAAAACAATGGAATTTGTATGAAATAGCATGCATAGTGACAATGGATTGTTGATGTTTTGCAACAGGAACAGTCCAGTTCGATATGATGAACTGATATTTTGCAAATGAACGATTTACGATATGGTTTTCCTATTTTACTGAGTAGCTCTGTAATTTTCGTTAAATACAATCCGGTTGCCCCACCTGTGTTCTCGTTCACTACACTACTACTACTGCTGCTACTACTCATCGACCAGTTGTTAAAGTGTGAGCGTGTGTAATCAAGTAACTAAAAATAGAATAAGCAATGAAATGTATTACACAGTGTTCAGTTTACATGTACCCTAAAGCGATCCAGAATGAAAAGATTCTACTCTCCCTCTTC